CAGAACCGATCCCCTAAATACTGCCATCAGTAACACTCACGTTTTCATGGGCACTTTTCACTCCTTTTCCAATTCCCCACTAGCCCTATTTCCAGCGCATTTTAAGTGATGCTAAAAACACTTTTGCAGTGCTTGCAAGAACAGGACCTGCAAGGGGTCATTCAAAATCATCAGTAGCCCCTAGTGGGTTCGTGAGGACCCTAAGATGATACAAGCCGGAAGTAAAAATCCAGTGGTTTCTCCACTGGTTAAACTCTTCCGATGGGCTCGCCGTGAGAAGTGGCCCCCGGTTATCTGAGCTTATTCTAGGGTTTCGTGGCAAATGGAAAATAAAATACAGTAAATCGAATCATAAGTCGACAGAGGTCTTCAGTTTCCCTTGACGTTTCGCTCGGTGCTCGTTGCACCTGGAAAGTAAATAAAAGTCCTTAACACCACGAAAATGTTTCGTAAAAATGGGAATTATTCATATGCAAATATATCGAAAATAAAGTTTACGCCTATTACCACTTTTTTGAAAAAGTTTCATTACAAGGTAGTAAAAGTTGGTATAAAAAGGTAGTGTAGATGGATCTCCTCATTTTGAATTTTAAAAAATGGTTTGTGCTTTTTTTATTTTACACTGAGTTGAATACGACTTTAAATACTCTGGGAACCTTGGGGCTCGACCCGATCGTGTTTTTTGTTGCGCCGCTGATTGTCGTATCTGTGCATTGCCAGGCACATCGTCAAGAATTTCGATAATTGGGCTATCCACCGGTCGGCTATAGCCAGCTGAAACGTCACTTATGATGGGGTTGTCCTCAAAATAAGATGGCTTCAAATGGTAGGTACTGACGGTGTCTTCACGTTCGTTTCGCTCAGTTATGTAGAATTTCTCCTGTCGCTTGATGGCTTTGAATAGCTCACCGTAAGCTGGTTCAAGCGATCGACGAGCGGCATCGTGGCAAATGAAAACGTGTGATGTCCTTTGTAAAATCCGGTGAGTGAATACATCAGTCGTTTGAGGCCTAACCGGAGAAGGCCTAGCTGAATGCATTGCGTTTGTAAGCCCAGTCACGTAAGATGCCTTGTCAGAAACGTGTTTGAAAGTTGAAGGGGAAACAAACTCACCTGGTAGGCGAAGAATGGTCCCATAGACCAGTTCTACAGGGGTGTATCCAGCATCAACCTTCAACACGTTACGGATACGTAGGGGGACTAGAGGTAGAGCCTCTGTCTGCTGAGGTATGTTTGCAGCTGAGGTAGAAACGCTTTACCATGCCATTTGCTTGTGGATGGTAGGCTGTCGTTCGGAACAGGGCGCAACCTAAAAGTGCCGTTAGAGCGTGAAATAATCAAACTGGTGGCCACGGTCGGTTGTGACGTAAGATGGGCATCCAAGGTTCGCGACCCATCTTTCGACGAAAACATGAGCTACTGTTTCAGCAGTAATATCCTTAGTAGAAACCGCTTCTGGCCATGGCGTAAACGATTCACACAAGTGAAAAGGTAAGCATATCTATTAGATTCTGTTGGAGGTACCACAATAACTATATGGAAGTGGTTGAAACACGTCTGGGGCTAGAAAAGAACCTAAAGGGCTTTTCGTGTGTCGTGTGACTCTGCACTGCTGACAAGCTAAGCACGACTGAGCCCACACCTCAACATCTTTGTTCATCCCAGGGCAGCAGAAACGTTGTGCAATAAGCCTGACGGTGGCTCGAACACCTGGATGGGAAAGTTTATGCAACTTATTGACGACGTTGCGTAGACATCTTTTCGGAACTACAGGGTGAGGTTGACTAGCAGAGACATCGCACAAAATTGTATCCTTGCCTGATCCTACTGGACACAGTTGTGGCTTGAGAGATGTGGGCGCCAACTAATGATGCAGCTCAAGGTCTTCTCTTTGACACAGAGTTAGTTCAACGAGATCAACACCTTCGATACGGTTCATCGAAGCCATTCGAGATAGTGCGTCGGCTACGGAGTTATTTGCCCCAGAAATGTGGGGGATGTCTGATGTGAATTGGGAAACGTGATCCAGTTGTCCTGACTCACGAGGGAGTATTTGTCAGACGTCGAGGTGAGGGAAAAGGTTGGCGGTTTGTGGTCTGTGAAAACAGTGAAGTCACGACCTTCCACTGAATGTCGAAAGTGGCGTACAGAACAGTACACAACTAGGAGTTCCATACCAAATGTACTATATCTTGTTTCCACGTCTCGCAGTTGTCTAGAGGAAAAAACTAACGGTTGCCACTGGTTGTAAGTCAAATGTTGCAAAACTGCTCCAATTGCTAAGTCAGATGCGTCAACAGCAATACTCAAAGGAGTATTGGGGTCGTGATGCATGAGCATGGTTGCATTTGAAATGGCTTCCTTGGCCTTAGAGAAAGCAAGCCTAACCACTTTGTTCAGAGTCAAGAACTTCGCAGTTCCTCGAAGTAGATCTGTTAGTGGTCTCATGACAGAGGCACAGTTGGGGATAAACCTTTGTTAATAACTTACCAGGCCATTGAAAGTGCGGAGATGTTTCACAGTGGTCGGCTCCGGACAGCCCATGACAGCCGCCACTTTATCTCTCAGTGGGTGTATACCTTTGTCGTTAGTGGTATACCCAAAGAAGCTGAGTGATTCAACTCCCATTTCACACTTCTGCAAGTTTACTGTGATGCCATGTCTTTTAGTCTTTCGGATACGAGGTCCAAATGTTTTAGGTAAGTTTCCTTATCTGGACTCGCAATTAGACAGTCGTCGATGTAGACATGAACAAAATTCAAACCACGGAAGACATCATCCATAAAGCGTTGGAATGTTTGCACTGCATTCCGAGGACCAGATGGCATGTGCAGGAATTCAAACAAACCAAAAGGAGTAATAATGGCTGTTTTCGCGATATCTTCTGTTGCGATAGGTATCTGGTTGTACGCTTCGACCAAATCGATTTTTGAGAAAACGTTCATTCCGCATTAGGTTGCAGTCAAATCGTAAACGTGAGGTGTCGGGTGGCAGTCCGAAGTCGTTTTTGCGTTAAACCTCCGGTAATCACCGGTTGGACGCCAGTCGTTGCTATCCTTTTTGGGAACCATATGCAGCGGTGATGCCCAAGGACTGTTTGACGGTTTGATAATGCCCATTTCGAGCATGTGGTAGAATTCACCTCTCGCATTTCGAGCTTATCAGAGGCTAGATATTGTGCTTCGGATGCCACAGGTGGACCTGTGGTTGTCACGTGGTGCATGGAGCTGATAGTTGTGCATGAAAGAGTGCGCTTCGTTTGTTGCAATTCTGGGTACGTCTCCAACATTGCCCGATAGGACGCGTCGCCTGATTGTTTAGTTCTAACGATGGCTAAACTCGGACCTACGTAGGTGGCGCCGCCAATAGATAACTTCGTGTTGTTACCTATTAGTCGTCGACGCCGAGCACCTACGAGTAGATCGCGATGGTTTAGCAAAACTAGGCCAATGATGGGCATAGAAACGCCAGGTGGGAGGGAAATCCAGTGAGCAGGCTTACGTAAACCCAAGTTGAGGTAGGCATACTGTCTCCCAAATGTTGCGACTGCTTTGCCGTTAGCTGCCAGAAGGGTGAAGGATGGGTCGTGATGACGCTCCTTCGTCGGTACGGGAAGAACACCAAGTTCCGCGCCGGTGTCGACGAGGTAGCGTACCGTCGTTCTTATATTGGTGACGCAATGCAAACGGCCGTTTCTGAGGGCTACGGTTGCTGAGAACATGTGCCGGTGTGACAGTTTCCCGAGTTTGTGTCCTGTTGAAGCCGCATGGCTTCCGGAATTTTCCCGCTTCTTCTCTGTAAGTATTATGAAACCAGCACCATTCAGGGTTTTCAACCCTGTTAGGTCTAGTTTTGGGGCAATCACGTGAGTTGCTGCGATGCGCCAAGGTGCGTTTCTGTGAAGTGCTACGTGAACTACGACTTCGAGATGGTAGCAACTGTTTCACAGAGTTGCACAGCTTGGTCGCTTCTGAATCCCGGCTCCCCTGTTTGTAGAAGACACAATATACGTTGGAGACGGGTCTGCTAGAAATCTCCAGTATTTTGTCTGCCGAGGCTGCCAGGTCATCGAGTGGGACTGACTGCAGTGTCACCAACACGGTTTGCACCGGTTGTGGTAGTTTCGAGAGAAATAGTTCTCGGAAGAAACCATCGTCGAATATTCGTGCACCGATTACTTCTCGCATGCGTGCGAGGACTTCAGTAGCTGAGTGGCGCCTAGTTCGATGTTACGAAGCAATTCGTCTAGACGTTGGCGATCTGTGAGATCGCTTTTCTTCAAGAGTGCGGCCTTTAGAAGTGCATAAGGATCACTTACTTCAGGATTAAACATGTTTGCTGTAACATACCTGTTTAATTCTCGCGGTAGTGACCGTATGACAGCAAGAAATCGAGAGTGAGGATCTGAGACACCCTGTTCTCGAAAATCGGCCTCGGCATACAGAAACCATGTTTCTGCATTGTCTGGCCAATATGGCACGAGTTGGATCGTGTTCGAAGTCGGCTTAATACGAATAAGCTTGGGAGTGTGGTCGGACATGAGAAAGTGTAGTAAACGGATATATAAATGTTATCGAAATGAAAACAATATACAAATATAAAATGGAACAGGCTCACCAATTCAATACTTGTTATTGGTCGGGATATGTGATCACGTCGGGCTCACCAATTTAGGATTTGTCCTGGTGCGAACTTGACAGACGCAAAGACCAATCACTAATTATTCGAACTTGTTATATACCCACGAATACGAGACCAAGGAAGAACACGATAGCGTAGTCGGATGGAATAGTATATTTGGATGGTTATGCCAAAATACCGATGCGTTCCAACTAACTGGCTAGAGAGTCGAATACGAGCAATGCAACGTAACACGACAGCGTGCCAAATGGCGAGGATGCTTGACCGTGTGCCTTCAGCTTAGCGAGTCCAGTTAAACTATCAAGGTCAGCATCAATGTCGAATGTCGTCAAACCCTAAGCTATTGATTTTTGGGGAAGTGTGTGACGCTACAACTTTTTCTCACTCGCGCGAATTTTGATATTGCATTTTGTCGGCGTCTGGCGACTGGTACTGCAGGTTTGGACAGGGTACGGTTACTGCCACACCGCCTCAGCATACATAGGCCATTATATTATATTGTTTATGTTTGTGGTCCATCATCCTTAATATCAGCCTAGGAAACTGGTAGTTTTTGATAACATGCGAGTATATTAATTCTCGAAAATATGGAATATAATTTCGAACAACTTTTAGCTCAATTAAAACCCCTTTGTCATCAGCCACTACAGAAACCCTTTGCTTTGTGTCTTATAGCCGGAAACTCGTATCCTGGTGCAATCTAGAATTCTGATTTCAAAATGACCAGTCATAGGCGAGTAGGTTACTTACCAACCTCATTACTAATTGTCTAAGCCTTTTTCGTTCTTTTCATATTTGAAATAAAGACTGTAGCGGCAATGGGGGACTTAAAATCGCTTCGTCCCTCAATAATTGGCAGTAGGTTTTCTTAAAGTTAGGATTGTCAGCAAAGCCCGAAAATTAGATTTTTATTACAGTATTTAGCTGCTGATGTAAAGTTGTTATTAGTTAAGTTGGAATAGCGAAGGTTAAGACCTTTGTTGTCTTCACAGTTATGTTTTCGCCTTTAAAAAGACTTGCTCCGTCCTAAGTCAGTTTTGGAGTTAATGGAGTCAGAATAAGGTTATGGTCTGTAGTTCCGCTTGATATATCATGAGGATATGGTTTGTTACAAACTATGAAAATTATTATTTATCAATTTCTGCCTCACTTGACTTCGGTTAGTGGGACTTGTCATAAATATCACAAATTTGATCTTTAGTGTAAAACCATCATGTAACTAACGTTCCCAAATACATGCTTTAATAATGAAGCCTCAGTAGGAGGAATAATATTCGATTGACCTGTGTTGATTTTTGCACTAATTTACTCAGCAATACTATGACCAGTTCAAAGGCATTTAATGTGTCACTCAAAATAGAAGTAAATTTTTTTAAATCTACCAGCTGTGAGAGGCACCAACCCTCTACAATATCAAAAGGATCGAAGGTAAAATTATTCAGCTTAAGTCCTTTTGTCACTGCCATGCTTCAAAAATTATAATCAACTGTTACTTAGGTATTACTTGGTGCTAATGACAAAAATGATTATAGATTGTGTTATTGTTTTAGGCCATACAAGGAGGGAGGTTTATACATGGGTAACTATTTCGGTAATAAACAAACTAATGCACTGTAGTAACTAAACTTGGTGCCACCTCGCAACTAAAAACACCAAGTGTTCAGTGGCAGCCAAACTCCGCAACAGCTACCAGAACAGGCATCGAGGTAGAACCACTAGCCTTCATAATAAGTATAATTTGTTGCCTGATCCATGACTGCACAGTTACTGAGTAACCTTTGGATTTTTACTGAGGAGTAACCAGTATACCATATCGGTACCTTTAGTCTTTAGCTTTTTACTATATTCTAATTTGTTCTGGGTATTCAGGATTATTAAATTCAAAATACAACCTAGATCAAATGGAAAACTTTTAAAAATTATGTTTACCATACAACAAAATGTAAAGCTTCAGTTTTTTTAGATTCCTTATGCCTTAGGCCTAATGTCATAGAATTCACCAAAGTGGTTGTCCTTTTCAACTCGTTCTAGAAGATCAGACAAGGACTCGCTACTTATACTCAACTCTTATCATAATTTCTTTGTGCTTTGAAGTTTCTTTAGCGAGTGGATTGGTTTAACGGATTAGGATTGCTAGCCCTATGCCCAACCTTCCCTCTTTATCCGGCTTAGAACCGGCTGGTAACTGGTAAACTAGTTAACCAGGCGAGGTTAAACTCAACTCTGCTCGACTAAAATTAAGTGTTAGCTAATCATGTTCTAGTTGCGCCTAACGATATTTATCAGTCAGGTGGTCACTCAGACAGAACATAATTGTAGGGAACTAAGGAGAAGTTAATCTTGAAATATTACAAATTTCTTTAAAATAGAACAGGAACACTTCGGAATTTCGCGCAAATTAATTCAGGTGAAAAATAAGGCAATGCTTATCCAAATTCCTTATCTAGATATGAGCAGATCAATAGTGTGTGGACTCCATGCAAAACTTCTAAACTAGAATTCATTCCATACACTTGTAATTTTGATTTGAACTAAACTGACATTTCGTGTAAAGGTGAACTGTCTCCCCTGACATAAAAACAGCTTTCATAACACCTAGTAGAGTTAAAGAGTCGACATCATGTTGAAATTGCTGGTGTATGACTGAAGTGCAGGCATTTACTCTATAAGCTCGACTCCTAACGAGTTTCGTTCCCTGCTTCACCTGTTGACGTTCGGGCAGACAGCATCAGTATCCCTCATACAATAGATAAGGCTTCTCACCTATTGCACTGGGGTGCTCGTGTGCATTTCGATTTTCTGGACTGGAATTTGACTAGATTTGTTATACTGTAACATATAGGACTTTGTTTGGCATTCTGAGCTCTTGTTTTTACGATTAACAGGCTCCACAATCCCCAGCAATATATTTTTAGGCATTGTCCTGGTGCGAACTTGACAGCCATAGAGGCCAATCATTAATTATTCGAACTTTTCATATACCCACAATACGAGACCAAGAAACAACATAATAGCGTAGTCGGATGGAATAGTATACTCGCAAAGTCGTGCCAAGATACTGATGCGTTCCAACTAACTGGCTAGAGGGTCGATTACGTGCAGTGCAACGTAACACGACAGCGTGCCAGATGGCGAGGATGCTTGACCGTGTGCCTTCAGCTTAGCGAGTCCGGTTAAACCATCGAGGTCTGCATGAATGTTGAATCTCGTGTGTGTGTGTGTGTCACGCTACACCTTTTCGTTGTTTTTACTTATTTAACCGACTATTTTCTCATTCCAATACATTTGTCGTTTCTCCGCTTTTCAACGTCACTATGCAGACCACCGGGTTACATTTAAGCTGTTGTCACTTATGGTTAGTTAAAAAAAGAAGTCGAAACGAACCTTCTCTCCAGTTATTTTGGAAGGTTCAGTGACCTCTTTTAACTTTTAATTGCAGGTTGATGAACACCTTAGTTACTCTCTTCACAACAGATACCAGGTTACTTGAGGAAAAGAATAGCTGTCATGTTTAAATAAGTAGTTTAGTTACCGTAAGCATTTCTCTTCATACCAAGCACCACGAGACCTCCAAACACCATCTTTTCTACACCCATTTATTGGTGATTAAACGTGTATTGGGACTATGGTAATGTCACAGTCCAAATAAATACTGGAAATGACTTGGCAATAATTTAGCTGGTCTGTCTAGTGTTGGTGACTGGCATATCAAACGAAGCCTCTCCTTGTGTTTGGAGTTGGTTATATTTGAAAACAGTGATTGTCAGAGCTGATTTCCAGAATGCAGTCAATATTATGGGTTAGCTTGGCGATTCAAAGATGTTTTTCTGCTTGACTCAATCTCCCAATTGTGAGCATTAAATTCGCCTTATGGTATTATTATGTTTGATGTTGCCTTCAGAAACAAGCCTGGCATCTGATAAAACTGATCCTCGTCATGTTTTGGACTGCAATTAGTGTGTAGGTGAAGAGAGACTTCTAGTCAGGTTCAACCTATATCAGAGTACCTTTGATTATCTACAGATCTGTTTAGTGAAACAGCACAGGCATGTCTGTCCATGTCAGTTCAGTCAAAAGTAGTGTTACATGTCATGTTACATGTACACCAGCGGCTCATCTGGACGTTTGGACTCTAACTTTTGGCATATGTGTTTTTACTTCACCGGCCGAAGGAAACACACGACAGTGAGGCCTGCTTCTACTCAGTTGGAGGATGAAAACTTGACGTGAGCATTTCAGATGGCGATAGGTTACCATTTACCTAACTGTCACAGCAGGCTACACCCCGAGGAAACCTGGGATGAAATTCAACCTGTGTAGAAACAGTGATTTAAATCGTTAGTAGCCTACATTCAAACGTTTGAAAGCGTCGATGGCTTACCTCAACATTGTCCGAACTGATTGGTATGAGGAGATTGACTCCAGCTGGCTTTGAAAACAACGAAAAGTAAGACCAACTTAAAAGTAAAGTGGCCGAAAGTATTTGCCATGGTCGTGACTAGTTCCTCGTAGAAAGACGGAGATGGCATAAGCGTTTAGTTGTTCCCGGCAACCAATTGTGCTTAATATTGATATTGGCCAGATGGAGATGATGGTTAGTGAAACCATCACCGAAGAGGGTGCAACGCCGATAACCTACCAGGACAGGCGGCTTTAACGTTCAGTGAAACACTTGAAGCACTGTTGAGTTGGCCCACAACATGGCATGAGGTGCCCAACATCCAGCCAGAAACTGAAAGGAACGTGGACGTTAGCCTCCAACTCCCATCGAAGTTGGGAAGGCTGTTTCACACCTGAAACGATGCAAAGTAGCAGGAGGTGACGACTTGCCATCAGAAGCTCCTAATGATGGAGGTAGGAAATTAGTGAGTAGAGTAAGGAGGTAGTAGGTAGCGTATGAGGATGAGAGAGGTGGTCCTGTGAGACTAGTCTGCCTGACTGATCATTCCAGTGTGGAGGAAAGGATAGAAGTCTTCTTGTGACAAGCAAAGATGAATCAGTTTGTCTGATATCATGTCGAAGATCCTTGGGTGCATAGTTATTTGACGCCTAATGAGAGCAGGGAATTGGTGAAAACCAAGAGGGTTTCATACATGGACGAGGGTGTATCGATCAGGTATTCCCACTTCTACAGGTTAGGTTGTGGAAAACAGGTTTGCCTATGGACGGGGCATATTTCTTGAGGTTATTGCGGTATCTCAGACTCAGTCGACTGAGAGGTGTTGTCGTAATATATGAGAGTATGGGAGGGGGGCGGTGGTTTACAGAGTGTGTATGTACACTGATAGATCGATTTGAAAACGGGATTATTGAGACAGTGTTCAGAGGGGAAGTGGTCATAAAATGTGACATGGTACTCATTATTACTTAGTATAATGTCACATCGGTATGCTGTGAAGACAGGACTGAAGAAAGCCAATAACCTGAAGCTAAAGGTTAATGAAAGTTCGCGAAGTGCAGCGCACTGTCTGGACATGTTAGTTTCGAAGGGGTCATGCTAATGCGCCTCATAGTCGATGCATCTGCGCTTTGGGAAAGGAAGTGGAATTTAGAAACTGGAGTCGACAATGGTTTTCACAAGTGAGAGTATCAATAGGGAAGAGTGTTTACTGACTGACGTATGTGCGAAGCCTAGACACTGTAATAGAATACAATTCCATACTAGTAGTACTGAATGACTCAGAACTAAGGTATCGATCGATGAGATCATGCTAGGTGTACAGCTCTGTCCGACCTCCACAATCTTCAAGTCTCAGGACGAAATTCATAGACGATGAATGCGAGGTGATAACACCACAAAATCAGATAGCGAACGTTGTGTGACTACCTTGATGTGATTATGAACCAAAATTAGTTCTTGAAATGTTATCCATTAAGTGATACTGTACCACTGTCTAACATATCAAATACACGAATCTTACAGGATTAGCCTACGGAGTGGATGGTAGGTTGTGTAGCTGAACATTTTAGAAATAAATTGGATCGTTAGTTTACGGTCTGAATGGAACAGTTGCATCGATCTTCCAGTTTCAATCCACGCTAAGATGCCTGTAAAAAAATTGAAGTGGAAAGAAACAAACGGTCATGGCATATCTGCTCTGACTCTACTTAGGAATGGTTTTGCGGATGACTTTACTGGGTCAGTTTGTGATTGAGCTTTGAGTATCAGATATGATCTGTTGATCATCATTTGTTTCACTCTTTTGGAAGAAATGGTTATATTTGTGATAGGTAGAGGAATCAGCCATATTAGTGTATTCCTTAGTTTCTCACAGTCGACGCCTGTTTAGTACCCAATTAGTTTTCGGGTGATAGGGGAATCTGAGTATAGGATGTATTGATTGAAATTTCACCTTCCGTCAGACATAGACACACAATTACCCGGACCACATACTAGTTATACTCGTCGACCACACTAGGAAGTTTCAGTCTAGTATTGGGGCTATTATCTAGCACAAAGCTTTTGTGATCTACGATAGTTTTGCGCTGAAGTTGACTGATTATTTTATGGTAAGGAAAGATAGTCAGGAGGAGATATTATGAAGTATCGATATGTTACCGGATGAAATGTGAATGCTGTTTTGTCAATCGTTTGTGTTTATTTTTCTTAGAGACCTCCTTCACCCTGTAAAATTTCTTTTTATGCTTCATCACGTTTGACGTAGTCTGCTGAGAGTTCGGGAGAGTTGAATAATTAGAGATATTATATATTGGTAATGTGTGACGTCAGATTTGTCAGGTGCTCAATGTGAAATCTATTCTATAATTTTTTTCCCCTAATTTTTCAGCTTATTAAGTATTTGAATTCATTAGATGTCTTTCATTGGTTTTCTGTGTGCAAGTCGAACTCTTCCCATAAGATGGCTACCCTACTGTTGTTCGAGTAGGCGATTTTCAGTTGATCCTTATGGTGCTACTACAAAATCCTTATCAGTTAGTGATCAGGATTCAGATATTACAACTGATAAACTAAAGGCATTTAGCGCATCATATATAAATTCAGTGTTACTGCTTGGAACTGTTGTTGGAATCAAGGTATGTTATCAAAAAATTAATGTTTCTTGGAAATATATATATATATATATATATATATATATATATATATATATATATATATATATATATATGCGAAAATCACGATATGTTTTTTTATTTAATTTGCATGCTTTCTAGATAAAATTTAATGAGTTCGATTCATTTTGACGTAATTGTTTGCTCTTTCTGTTAGAGGTAACCAAGCAGTTCCAGCTGTGACATGTATAATGACTCGCAAACATCTCAAGTTTTAGGATAATGACTGCTGACTAGGTTTCAATGTTTAGCTTTGATAGTTGGCTTTGCACAGCCTGATAATAGTCAACTTATCTCTCACTCATTCATTGTGTCTACATGTGAGCTGAGTACAAAAGCTTTTTCTAGTTTGTAAGTATGAAAAAATTCAAATGATGCCTTCCTGATGTATTCACTGATTAAATTTGAGTCTTGATTAACGGTCGAATTGCAGTGGCGTTTTGTAAATGTACTCGAACAAACATGAAATGTTTGTTCAGTCGGTCCTGAAGACCAACTTTGGGCAGAAAATAGCTACATAGGAAGAAGACTGCTGGGAATAATTGGATTGTTAAATATGAGAATGCTTAGCGGTAATTCTCCTGTATGTAAAATATCTCCTGCTGAAATTTTAAGTAAAACATTGGATTGTACTACAAAATAGTCACATGTTTTCTCTGCTTTTTCAAAGGGTTGTTCTAATTAATAATCCAATACTTACATCGTTTGTTGTCTTTATATCTCTTCTGAAGATGTTCCCAATGCAAAACAATCCAGATCGTAACTGGGTTCTAGTGTTCTTGAGAACCCGATTGTCTACATTTCGGGAAGCGGAATATGCTCAACCAACTAGTATTACTGATATAAATGAACCAACAGTAATGTTTAAAAAGACTCTCAGTTCATCAAACAGAGTACACGTCTTCAGTCCTAAATTGGTCAACGGTCTTAGAGATATCAAACCTGGTGAACGGCTACTAGTCAGTGGATTTCTGTCCTACTACCAGTCATCAAAGCTCGATGGGAAAACAACTAAACAGTGTTGTGTTACAGCTCAACGCATCGCTCATATGGGATGGGCTCCCGATTACCAGGTTGCGAAGAATTCGGAAGAAGTCTTTGAACAATCAAGTATTCTACAAGAACCTACCGATTTGTTTTAAGAAAACTTGCATTTCCTATTTTTGACAACTGTATGGTTTCAGTATGTGTATGTTTACTCAGTGAGTATCAAGATTTTGTTCAGTTTTTTAAGTGTCTTCTGTATACTATGTAACCTTTTTTGTATGTATCTACTTCGCATCAAAGACATCAACTGACAGCATCCGATGTCAGACAGATATTCAGATTTGTTTAACCACATTTCAAACTTCTTTATTATTTCTATTATTCCATCACAAAAAAATCTAGCCAGAAGTCAGTATCTGTTACATCCAGAAACAATATTAGCAATATTTTCAAGGTAGAAAAAGCTGCCAGAAGTTTGTTGCTTATTTAATGCAGGATAGGGATATTCTCAGTTCTTCGTTTCCTTTTCCCTTCCTCTGGGATCATATGACATGTTTCCCGCAAAGCTGGTAAATTTTATAGTAAGCAGACTGCATATTGTTATTCGGAGATAAAGAAGTCACAGAATTTGAAATATGGTCAACGTTGGTTTATGTTCAAAACTGTAGAATCAGTAATAGTTCTGTGTTTACGATTTGGTATATATAGTACCGAAAACCAGACAAGATCTGCAATAAACTGGCATGTGAAGTTGATGCAAAAAGTACTTATGCAAAAGCGAATAAAATCTGTTGTAAGCAGATTGCCTGAAGACCACTTCACATGAAATAGTTTCTTTTTGGCACCCAGAAAATTATCAACTCACTCCTGTCGTGGGTAAAAGACAGGGTAGGTGAAGTGCATCGTAGAGAATCTTACTACCTCTCAACCCACTGTGGTATGAGTTCCCTTGTTAAATATATAACCACACACAATTTGGAAGTAATAAAAGGATTCATGAAGTCAGTGTTTATAAGAATAAGCTTATCAAAATATGTTTTCTAAATTGGCTGTGGATTATTGGTTCATATCAATGTCCTTAATGTGACTATGGACAATGAATTGTGTCCAAAACGTAGTCAAGTGAATTATATGGTTTCATTGTTTGATATATTTAATGAATCAATTGTTATAGGATTTCAAGTGTTTCTTATTGTTTTTATGATAACCAGAATACAAAACCAGTTTAATGTTTTCTTGACCATTTAGTTATCGGATTTTTTATGAACCAATCTGAAGTCGGCTGAGTTTTTGAAGACAGATCTTTTCATCGTACGATACTTATCATTTTTCCACATGATGGTATTTTCTTTGGAAATTATGTTCAACCCACTTTAATTTTGTATCACATTTTGCATAAGTTATTCGATTCATAAAAAAGCTGACAAAATGACTTGTTATTTTGGTTATTAGTTTTGTGTGGAGGTACTTGTTACACCGGTAAACCAGCTGAAAAATCTCCGGCAGCAGCCCATCTGTCTGTGCTTCCCTTCCTCGTTTCAGGTTACTAATAGCCAAGAGTTGGACTATCTGTCATAGTGTGCCACACAAGAGCTGACTGGATAGCTGGAGGATGTAATAGTTGCCGAAGGCCAGTTGAATTGTCTATCGTGCGAGTAGATCACATAGCCATCCTTCTCTACTATTGTTCTACTAATCATTTACATTTTCCCCCAATCCTCTTGACCAGTCTAAATAACTATCTACTGTTTCCTTTCGTTGTGGTCTTTTCCATTAATTTGGCTCTCACTAACCACCATTGCTCTTGGTCATTGCATAGGCTTCTCGTCGGTACATACTTAAGTATTTTTCGCTCTTCATTGTGCTTTAAGCCTACAAAGAAATGCGTTCATGTGCATCCATTAATTCGGATGAAGCTACTGAAATCCACTGACTGTTTCTAACATTTTTCTGAGAGTCAGTTATAGTCTTTAAAGCGGTTTTTACTGCAAACTGGAGATGCCATAGGCTTCTACCGGATAAGCGACATTATCATGTTCCGATAGCTGTCTTGTCACTATTTCGCTCCGAGCAGCTTTTGTATCCTCATCGTCGATGTGTCCTGAATGATCGTGTTACTGCAGTACATTCAGGTGCAAACATAGGTGTACTCGACTCAGTGTGTAATCATCGCACAAAAATACGTGCTCCAAAAGAAGTAATATTCCATCAATTTCTTTCGTTATAAGTGAGAGCTGAAGTAAAAAAAATCGAATCGAAGTCCATTCAGCAACCTTGTACACATTCTTGCAGTAGGCAATAAGCCACATCTATTGTGAGATGGCAGTGATGATACCTGGCTACTCAGACCTCTGCAGGTGAGGCGGTTTTCAAACTCGCGACTTATCAGTTGAAAGTCAGCTCCTTAAACCCAATGAGTTCACTGATGAGTTAAAATCGGTGAACACCACGTCTACATGTCTCAAGTTCGTAAAGATCGTAAATAGGTGTTATCTAAGCAACGTTTAGCAGACGATAGTATGTAGATGTTCGTTTAGCTGAGTTCCAAAAGTGCCACGTAAATGCTTGAGTACTGAACTCATTCGCTCCACCCTTAATTTTGATTTCAATTAAATTGCCATCCCAAGTGTGCCAACAAACCGGAGGATATTCTGCCAGTAGTTGCTTTATTCAGCGTCTGCTCATTGGAAGCACATCATTATTATCTAGTCGCTCTTCATAACAGTGAGCATAGTTCTTCGACCATTTTATTCACTACCCTTATGGGTGGTCCTAACATATCTGCTTATTTGAAATAAGAGCTAGATGTTTGTGTCTTACATACCAACTAAAATCCAATATATGTCGAGCATGACATCCGAAACATCCTAATCAAATATGTCGTAGGAATGTTGAGAAACTGTGAGACACAGAAATCGCTGGTAGATAGTATCGTCTTGATACTATGACTTGTAACGACTCGTAAATCCTGGAACTCAGAAACCGTAAGTGGGAGTATGTGGTAGAGTTATTAGTCGTTTTGATGACTGTAAACGATAGACTTGTTTACGCTCTTACTGATGTTAATTTCCTTTATCTTTCTTTGTAAACTATATTCTAAAAGCTGATAAAAAGATTGTACTCGTACTCTTCACAGGTGGCGAATAAGCATTCGCTTAAGTTTTATAACCACATTAATTTAATAGTTGTTTCTGGCCAGTGGGTTCGCTTTTGGATTCTCTGGGAAGGCGCGCTGTTATCATAGAAATATCTGTAAGAGTCGGAGGACTGGTTGAACTGTTTTGCAAGTACTGCATTAACCTGTACTAGCTCAGATTCGTGCACCGCAGGAGTAATTGCTGCTGCAAATGCACTTATAGATCTCCTATGACTTTCTGAGTAAGTGTAGACCTTAAGATCTTCAACTCTGTTTCAGTTAAGTTTATTTGTTCTCAGCTATGATATGTAGAATTCTTTCAAATTATGGCGATTAAAGATCGGTTCTTATTTGAGAAGATTGGCTTTGCTTTATGTACGACGCCGAGTATCTGCGTCAGTTTGGAAAATTATTTCTGGCCAACCGTCCTGAAGAATGCTGCAGGTGAACTCTCTGGTCCTGACGTAAAAAACAGCTTTCATAACGCTTATGACAGTTAAAGAATCGAAGTCATGTTGGAATTGCGGGTGTATGACTGAAGTGTAGGTAGTTGGTCTATAAGCTTGACTTCCAATGGCAGTTTCGTTTCTTGCTTCACCTTCTCAGGTTCAGGCAATATCAGTATCCCTCATACAACAGATGAAGCTCACTACCTAATGCACAGGGGGTGCACGTGATTGTGGGTATTTCGACTGCGACTGACCCCGAAAACCAACATAGAACCTCACATAAAGGTGAATCGGCTCAATTTGTCCCACTTCACAGTGGTACACGAAGAACAGGTAGATAGAGAAAGATTGATATCAAAGCAGACAAAGTTGTGTGAGACAACAAACAATTTGAAGATAACGGTTGATGAAGACATTCAAGCTTTAGAAGATCTCAAATAGCTAATACGTCTGCACCATTGTGACCGATTTTCAACCATGTCACCAACAGTCCTCAAACAATGACTTCTTTTGTCTCGGGGACACCAGTCTTCATCTTCCCACATGACTCAGATCAATAGTAGGAGACTTCATCGACTGATGCCACGTCACGGTTTTGCTACCCTAAACCCTTTAACCAAGTACAACTTCACCTACTGTCGCACGTCCAGCTAGGCAGTGGCTTGGCATTGCTCAGTACAGGTCCAAGTCAACTAAGATTCACAGCTTCATCAATCGACTTACCTCTCTTGCTTAGCTCCTGTCATGTGATTTCAACATTGTTCATACGCTGACTCTACCACACTCGAGCAATGCTACGAAGACATCTGTGATCAGAACCTTGTCATCGCTTCATGTTTTCATTTTAATGGCTGTCTCAGCCGTATAACAGGACAGGAGGGACTGTAGGGCAGTATATTCGTCCTTTGATAGATAGTCGGATACCTTGCCAGTCGGCGCCATAGATGACGCAAATTTAAAAACGTCAGAGTTGAGATTTCGACATCAACAACGCCATTCGGGCATATGAGACTCCCCAAGTGAAGTGGTCGACACATTTCACCACTTCACTCCCTATCATGGAACTAGGAGTACTTGCAGCAGACCAGTTCTGGAGTAACATACCACATTTGACGGGTGCGAGACGTATGCCAAACATACCCAGATGTATGCTCAACGCGTTTGAAACACCCTCCATTTTGTAAGTGTCTTCACGTAGCACAGCAATATCCTCCACATAATCCAAGTCAACTGGATGCTGTACAGCGAGTAGATCAAATTCCCTGAAGTCACACATAACTGAAGTTACGTCCATCAGTAAAGCTATCAGGAATTTAAATAGGAATCTTGACAGCGGATATCCTTGATGGACACCACTCGTGATCGATTGTGTTTACAACGCTCCATAAGCCCTGACACGGCTGCATGAGTTCAAGCAGAAAGCTTCGATTAGCGTAATATACTTTTTCGGTACACCCTTCATAGTCGGACACTGCCGCAACACCTCACGGTCGACTGAGTCAAATGCCGCCTCCAGGTAACAAAATAAGGCAATTGTTGGCCACTGACCGGTAGGTATCCCTGCGTTCCA